TACTGTGTGTAATAAGTGTCAAGTACTTTAATTCATAACAAAACAGCCTCACAGCTTTGGCTATTACTTCAAGTCGGTTGGTTACTATAGGGGAGGTAACTACTACTTTTTACTAAGGTAAGTTTTTTTAGATAAATTAAACACTTGGATCTACAATATCAGTTGGGCTTGGGTTTAGAATATCAGTTGGACAAGTTATTTAGATAAATCAGAAACTTGGCTATAGGGCTGGTAAGTAGGTCACCAACCAGTTCTATGGCTCATGCAGGTTTTATTGAGCTGTAGAACCGGTTGGTGACCTACTTACAAGCCCTATAGAAACCACTTGTGTCAGTTATTTATTTAGTTCAGACACTGGGTTATGGCACCAGAAAGAACTTTATGCCAACTAAAATCAATTAGCATGTCTTTTATTATTCTCGTCACTCGTGGTAATACAATGAAAACACACACCATAGTTCCTGATTGTTATAAATCTAGAAATACTTAATAGTTACTTATTATCTAATTACATAGTTAAGATATTATAATCGGGTGATTCCCCCCCCCCCCCCCTAAGACCAATGCAATCTAATATGATTAAAATGTATTATTTGAAATTAATACGATTAACGAAAAAATCACATGAGTTTAATAAGATGAATGGGATCAAACGACAAAAGAAAAACAAAAAAGTTGAGCACATCTTGATGATATGATACTGGATTAATTCAGCCGTGTATATGCAATGCACATACAAACACTCGCATGCACATACGTGTAAGCCAGATTCCTTCTCAATTATTCATCGCAGCCATATCGTAGCAGCCATATAGTGGCAGTCATATATATATATATATATATATATATATATATATATATATATATATATATATATATATATATATATATATATATATATATGTTAAATTAAGGAAAAAGGCGGCTGTGCATACTTCTGACCACACTATCCCTTCATATGCCGAACTCTCTGAAGCAGATGAACTCTAATTTGGGGGTTTATGTGACCCCATGTGTTTTGGGCACGAATGGGAATAGATGATGAATATGTCGTGAATTTATCGGAAACCAAATGTCGGGAATCCATTCGCCTGGAGCCTATATTACTTATAAGTCTGGGTCCTTTTGTCGGGGCTATTTTGACTAGGTCGCTTTCTGGTCGATTGTTCGGGGTTATCTCGACGGAATCGCTTTGTCGGGGACCTTTTGACACGGTTTGTTTTGACGGTGCACCTTTTGTTGTATTGCACCTTACTCTTATTAACTACTTTCCTGTGTAGAAATCTTTTACTAGATAGAGGGAAACTTTACACAATATTTAACTTACTAATTAAATTGCTCTGGCAAAGGCAGCTGTAAGTGTTCATTTAGTGTAATCCTTAGTCATTTTTACAAGTTTGAAAACAATAATTCATGGTTATCCCTGGTAATGTGTATCATTTAAAATAAGTTATTATTCCTTTGACGAGTTTATTTTTTGTTTTTAAACTATACTATTTTTAGCGGTAAAGATGAATTTTCAACACCAATAGTCGTATACTTTTTAGTTGTGTTTACAGTTAAGGTAACTCTATATCCGAATCATCTTTGACACGGAGTTAGGAATGTCCTATGCCCTATATCATATATAGCTTAGTGCCTTGCAGCCTAGATTCGATCCAGCCGAACTAGGAAGACTTTCGTCAATCATGCGTTGACAATGGCCGTATTTCTAAGAAAGCGTCGGTAGGTGGCGCCACAGGGAATTAGGTTACATTTTCTTACAGGCAGGGGTGGCCACTCTGCGTAGAAATATCGCCCATTGTAGTGACTGTTACATTCCAGCATACACTCTAAGCCTATTTATAGTAAGTAGGCCACTTACATGTTTTGCCAATATGCATTTGTAATTGATGCAAAACCACAACATAAAACAGTTTATACACATATTTTATTTCGAAATGTGCACGCTTACGTAAACAAAAATATGAGTATCTTTAATTTAAATAAACCGGGAGTGATCTCCCCTAAACTTTCTCGAATATTCTTATATAACTTGGAATATAGACATGATTTTTAATTACTTAAACTTTTAAAAAAAGAATAGAATCTCGTAAAAAAAAGAATTGCACACCAAGTGAACGCCTAAAATAATGTGCATAATAGTGCGGGATATTATTAGTACTTTATAAATTTACATACGTTTTTTGAGAAATCGGAAATAGCGTAAATTAGTACTTCCTGTCAACGCAAATTACTCAAGATTTGACAGAAGGTAGAGAATTATATCTTTTACTTACATGTGGATTTTCATTTATCTATCTGAGATAATACTCAAGTTATAGGCTTTTGAAAAATTCATAGTAAAAAAGTACCACTTCCGGTTATCGGAAATCGCTCAAAAGTTTATCAGGATCTACGATTTTGATAAAATACTTATATATGAAATTTCATCAACCTAGCTGTAACGGTACTCAAGTTATCGTGTTTACACACAGACAGACAGACACACAGACAACCAGACAAGACTGCAAAATTATGTTTTTCCGTATCAGTGAGGTGTAAAACGTCGAAATTTGTAAATATCTCGATTTTTTTTTTGCACGATTACAAGACTTTCTCTATACTTCGTATATACGAGAAAGTAAAAACATAGTATATACAAACTAATTAGTGCCTGGTTAATCAATGGTCCATTAACAATATATTTTATCATGTCTTATACACCTTTATGTTTCCATTCAAACAAACTTTTTTTAACCATTATATTCTGTCTTTAGACCTACAAAATATGTAAACAAAAAGCATGAATGTCTCTACTTCGTCAATTTAGACATTAGGTGTAAACGCAATGAGGTTAATTTAGACGTTCTTATGTGTGGCTTTCTATCGTCCAGTTACACTTAATTGTGTGTAAGCAAAATGTATGTGACGTATATAGTCTGTTCAGACATTCTTGTTCAATTTCTTACTAATTCCGTGGAAAGAAATGTGCATGCCTTCATATCTTCCATCTAGACGTTTTTAAGTGTTAATTTATGTGTGGCTTTATATCATTTATATACGTTCTTATGTTAAACAAAACATATGTGGCACTATATCGTCTTGTTGCAAGTTACATGCATCTTTATATGTTACATGTAGAACGTCGTGTGTGCAAAATATATGTGTGCCTTTTCTCTCCAAATTCGACAATCCAGTGGGAAAACATATTATGTGTGCCTTTAAGTAGTCCATTTAAAACTTACGTGTAAAAATAATATGTGTGTATTTATATAATCCATTTAGACTTTCTCAACTTTCTGCTTAAAAAAAATAAGTGAAGAGATGTCCAAGAGGATAGTCCATCAGATGTATGTGTCATTGAACGAAACAATGTACATGGAGGCCAGGCTAAATCTTGAGGCCATACCTGAACATGGCCAGAAGATCCAGGCCAAAATCAGCAGAAGATCAATCAACAGGTGATTGAATGCTTAAATGAGATTTCATTGTTACTCAGGGAACGGAGTGGTCTAGCGGTAGAGAGCTGGACTGCTAACCCGTAAGTCTCGAGATCGAATCTAGGTTCAATTCAGTAGACCGTCCCTGAGTCCACCCAACTCTGTTGTTTACCTAACTCACGTTAGGCAGGGCATAGTGCTGACCACACTATCTCTTCATATGCCGAGTTCACAAAAACACGTGAACTCTACTTCACTTGCCCCATAGACCGTCAGGTTTAAAAGGCAAACTTTCATTGTTACTCTAGTGATTAAAGTAACGTTATCTTTTCGAACCTGTGGACTAAATGGATTAGAATTCCATTGTTTTTGTGACCTCGGCATTTTGAATATATAACACTATGTCCAGCCTGCTTTACTTAGGTATCAATCAGAACTGTGTGGACTCACTGACGTTCTAAAAACTTTAACCCGGTTTTGAACTCGAGACTATCCGGTTAGCAGTCTAGTGCTCCACCCATATTTTAGTAAATACAAGTAGGGGCCTAGCATAGTAAACAATTATAATGCATTGTAAGCTTCTTTTTTTTCGCATTTTAATATATATCAATTGTTAGGATGTCACTTTCAGTGAAATAGTGCAAATAAAATAGGTTAATTAAAAATTTATTAAATTTATTAAGGTCTAATTTTAAAAGTTAACTTACAATAATTACACTCGAAATTAATAATATTAAAAGTTCTGAAGGTTTTTTTTAGATGTAACTAAGTATCATTCCGGTTACCGTCTAACAGTCAAAGGTTTAAAGAAAACCTCCGTATTGGATTTATATTTGTAGGCTACTTGACGTTCCGTCCACATACTAAAACAAGCATTATAGTATTTCACACATTCACACGGTTAGATATACATACACACACATAAACTTATACGATATCGAAAATGAGTGTTCGTAAAATATTCGATTTCTATTGTTAACATATCTGCAATATTGTTTCTTATATACCTGATGGGAAAAACATAAAGCTACATAGTAATTAAAATAGTAATTAAAAAAACGGTACTGAAAAAAAGGCAAATAAAAATTATTATTAGTCAGTGGCGTAGGCAAGTGGGAGTTGGGGGTTAAAACCCCTCCAATGGACCCCTACCACTATATATATATATATATATATATATATATATATATATATATATATATATATATATATATATATATATATATATATATATTTTTATATGATTTTATTCATAAGGAAAAATGTTTAAACCCCTCCTATGACCACTTCCTGGCTACGCCACTGTTATTAGTGATCACTATCCATGAGATTTATAGCTAACATCGTAATATTGTATGTGCTACTTTATGTGCTTTTTATTTTCAGCAAAACTAAAAATTGAGCGTCTCAAATGTAGAGAAGACCGAAACAAAAAAAGATCTGAATTTTGTTTTTATTATATCACTAAATCGTGCTATAGTTCAAGGAACGAAACAATACCTGTAGTAGCACCCTCTGCCATTTCGATTGTTTATAAAATAGCATTTTTTTTTTGCTGCAGCTATGACGGTACAGCCATGATTATACCCGATGACATCCGCGGGGCCCGTGTCCTTGACATTGGCTGTGGGGGAGGCTGTCTGACCTTCACCTTGTCGAAACTCGTCGGTCCATCAGGCTACGTCGTTGGTGTGGACAGTTCCGAGAAATTCGTAAGGTTTCGGTCATGGACATTTCATCAGTTCTGTACATAAACGATATTGACATTAACTCTTTATTCCTATAAATAACAAGGTGGTATTCTTGATTCGAATGTTACCATATATATATAAATAAATAAATAAATAAATATATATATATATATATATATATATATATATATATATATATATATATATATATATATATATATATATATATATATATATATATATAGGTGTGTAATTTATTAATATATATATAGTATCTATATGTATAATATATGTATATATGCTTATATATATACATATATATATATATATATATATATATATATATATATATATATATATATATATATATATATATATATATGTATATATATATATATATATATATATATATATATATATATATATATATATATATATATATATATATATATATATATAAAGTATATCAAACAGATCAAGTTATGTAAAGAAGAGACCGAATACCACATGAAAGAGTGGGGCTACAGTCAACCAAACTGTGAGTTCATACAAACTGATGTAGAGAAATTGATGGATTTACAGCTCGAACCTTTTGATGTCATTGTGTTAGTATATAAGTCGACAATTTGTCGTGTTTACATTTCGTTTTTCATTAATTATAAGAATAATTATAATTTTTTTTTATTTTGAATCTAAAATAATTATAAAACACAGGCGACACTTATAGTGCATATTTATTTAACTACAACATATATTATTTTTCTAAACGTATCTAGAATTATTAAATATTTTTATTTTGTATTGCTATTTAACCGAGAATATAGATACAATATAGGTAATACATTAAATTTAAGGAAACTTAAATAATAATGATTTTAACACGCTATTATTCTTAGATCTAACGGACTTTTATGTTTAATACCCAACAAGACAAATATATTTAACATCTTGTCTAATTTACTCAAGGTAATAATTATATTCAACCGTTTTATTCTCTAATAAAAATAATTTACAAAAATAAGGAAAATAATTACATAATATTTTTTACACTCCCAAAGAAATAAAAGTATTGTACTTCCTCTATGTTTTTCTAGGAAGGTGGAGAGTTCTACGACAGCGATATTTTCTCTGACGTGGAGCAATGTCTGGAAGTCAAGAACAATCCCATCTATAACTGTGAGCTTCATAACATTCACATATCTGTCGTTTGTACAAATGTAAATACAATGTATATGAAAAGTCAACTTCCTTTCAAACGTGACGGTCTATAGAGCAAGTGGAGTTCAATTGCTACTGGGACCTCGGCATATGAAGAGATAGTGTGGTCAGCCCTATCGACTCTGGGATGGTCTATTGACTTGAACTCGGATTCGAACTCGAAACTTATCGGTTAGCAGTCCAGATCTCTATCGATAGACCACTCCTTCCCATACATTATAAACAAATGTAGCCTATATAATTTACAAATATGATCTAATAACAAACTGAGTATTGATTAAAAGTTCATAACATTCAGTACAAGATTAATTAAAATAATGATCACATTGTATCATATACGTTATCAAAATATCTCAAATTTACAATATCCATCAAGGCACTGGTAAAGAAAAGGGTAAGTGACTACACTTGAAAGTGTTAGCGTAACACTAACTCTTCAAGCTGGCTAGCGCGGCTATTGTATTGTCCGTTATTATTATGAATTACTTTATTGTATCCACCCCTTCCACAACACCCGCAGGCTACGGCATCAGTGATGCAATGATCTGGTCTGACCTACAAAGAGTTGCAGGCAGGGTGGGGTTCTCTGATCCCTACCTGATCTACGCCGCTGAGGCGTTTCAGTTTGAACATGAGAAGCTCAAACAAGATCTGAGTGAGTGAATGATTATAATAATCAATAAGCAATACCTGAGTGAGTTAATGATTGTAACAATCAATAAGCAATACTTGAGTGAGTGAATGATTGTAACCATCAATAAGCAATACCTGAGTGAGCGAATGATTGCAAAATCATTTGAGTATTGCCGAGTGATTGAGTGTAAAATAAACTATACAATATCTGAGTGAATGAGTGGTAATATATGTAGAAAATATTTGAGTACGAGAATGATTGTAAAAAAAAAACATTTTGAATGGTCTGAGTGCGTTAATGATTGTAACAATCCTTAGATGAGTGCTGACTTAGTAAATACTGTTAGGCAATACCAGAGAGAGAAAGTTGGTGCAAAAGAGTAAAGAAAATATTTGCGTTATTGAATGAATGTAGCAATCATTCAACACGATCTGAGTGAGTAAACGATATTACTGTTAAGTAAAGCTGTATAATATATTTTACAATATTGCGTCCTTTATGTATGGAGCTAGTTAACTACATCACAAATGGTATAACGTTATGTATTAAATAAACGATGTTTTTACTCTGAAGTTCAAATTAACTGGGTCATCTTCTGTGCAAGGGAGCAAACTGTATCATTTATTGTACAAGGGAGTTAACTCTGTCAATTAAGGCACACATGAGTTACCTATATAAACAAGTTAATTTTACTCTCCAGGGGGAGTGAACTACGCCTGTGCCGTCTACCGACTTATCAAGTTGGCGCCTGAACAATCTGAAGGAGGAGCCGTTGTGACGTACAAGGGCACGCTAGATAACTGTGATGAGTCGTTTAAGTGGGATGTTGATCTCACATTTAAAGTAATCTTTGTTATGATTTAAGACTTTTAATAATAGCTTTTAATTAACGTTAAAATTTAGGTATTATCACTTTTAAAATAAAATTAAATTACATCTGTATTTTGAAAACTACAAAAAAATTAAAAAAATAAATAAAATAACAATAAATAAATAAAATCAAGTTGAAAATAAATATAAAAAAAACCACTTTCAGCGAGGTGTTCCTGTCAAGATAGACGGGTGCCTGGCAAGTCTCTTGAGTAAAACCAAATATTCAAACCACTTTGTTATTGAGGAGTCCACGGACAAGGTCACTACCGAAAAGGTAAAGATGTCATGCTTGGTTACACCCCTTTAACGTAGTTTAAACATTGAAACGTAATGTTAAAATTCTGTTAAATTTTTATTTCATTGATTTTATTGTTAATTGCGACTTTACTAATTACGTTTTTTCTCATAAACAGTGATACGAAATGAAATATATATATATATATATATATATATATATATATATATATATATATATATATATATATATATATATATATATATATATATATATATATATATACAAATATGTATTTTGCAGAAATTAAAACAATAAATAGTGTTATGTTCAAGTTAATGATTCTTTTTTTTTAGAACCAGAATCCATTTGTATACTTGAAGAAGTTGCGAGAGGTAGGCGGGGATTACCCTGAGCCCATTTACCCAATGGTAGGTGTGTTTGTTATACAGCTGTATGTGGTTGTGTATATGATGTATGTGGTTTTGTTTGTTGATATTGTATGTGATATTGTCTTTAATCGTGTATGGTATGCTGCATATGGTGTTGTGTTAGATTTAATATGTACGCTTGTAAAAGTGACATTCTGCTGGTGAAGTAGAGTTCATCTGTTTTAGTGACATTGGCATGGAATTGGATGATGTGGGTATCAATATGCCTAACCATTGGCGTATCGAGGTCGGGTGTCACCCGGTGCGGAACTAAATGGTGTCACTCCCCAGAGGCATAGCGACCCTTTGCCGGAGATAAACTTTCAAACTTTTGATTTGCACCCCCATCCCTCAAACTTTTGATTTGCACCTCCATCCCTCAAACTTTTGATTTGCACCCCCATCCCTCAAACTTTTGATTTGCACCCCCATCCCTCAAACTTTTGATTTGCACCCTCATCCCTCAAACTTTTGATTTGCACCCCCATCCCTCAAATTTTGATTTGCACCCCCATCCCTCAAACTTTTGATTTGCACCCACATCCCTCAAACTTTCGATTTGCACCCCCATCCCTCAAACTTTCGATTTGCACCCCCATCCCTCAAACTTTCGATTTGCACCCCCATCCCTCAAACTTTCGATTTGCACCCCCATCCCTCAAACTTTTGATTTGCATCCCCATCCCTCAAACTTTTGATTTGCACCCCCATCCCTCAAACTTTTTATTTGCACCCCCATCCCTCAAACTTTTGATTTGCACCCCCATCCCTCAAACTTTCGATTTGCACCCCCATCCCTCAAACTTTCGATTTGCACCACCATCCCTCAAACTTTTGATTTGCACCCACATCCCTCAAACTTTTGATTTGCACCCCCATCCCTCAAACTTTCGATTTGCACCCCCATCCCTCAAACTTTTGATTTGCACCCCCTTCAAGTTTTTTTCTATATATTTTGCTATTTTTTGCCTTGGTGTCACCCTCCTAAATGGTGTCACCCGGTGCGGTCCGCACCCCTCGCCCCCCCCCCCCCTCGCTACGCCTCTGTGCCTAACTCCCTTAGTTTCCCTCGCGTGTGTATGGTACCTATCATAGTTGGGTGGACTCAGGGACGTCCTACCTACTCAATCCTCGGATCCAAACTCTTAACTTTCGGATGAGCAGTCTAGCGCTCTACCTTTGTGCGGCGCCGTCGTAGGTAATATTTAATGTGAACACTCTGGGATCTTATTTTGATAAAAGAAAAAAAAAACATATTACATATTGCACTTTAGGGGATCGGCGTGGTCGAGTCGGTAAAACTCATGGTTCGAAACCCTCAGGCAGATGAGCCTTATTAGCCGGGGAAAGCCACATTTCTAGGAGAGACAACTCCAACATCAAACAACTGCTGCCTTGTAGTTTGTTCTTGTTTGGACAAAGGCTATGGAAACAAATCCAAAAATAAAAGCAGGCTGAAATCGGAGTCAATGTCCTCAATGTCGCATAACAAAGTTGACACGTATCCTTAACTGTATAGGAGGGTATCCCTTCCAACACTAAAATTAAAAATGAAGAAGAAGAAGATATTTCACTTTATATTTTATTTATTGTTTATTCAGGATGACGACAACAACCGATTTTTTGAAGACATCATTGACAAGTCTTTGTAAACTTTGCTGCTAGTTAAATATATATAAAAATCATCATTGGCACCTTATTTGACAAATCAGTATTAACGTCATAATTTAAAATCATATAACAAAATTGTAATTAACAATGTAGTTACTAATTCTAGAAAGCTTTATCATTTGTATATTACTATTAATATATTTATACATACACAATTATTTATTGTAAATCATGTGATAATATCCTATTGTGTATATATTTTTAAAAAAAAACCCATAGTAGAAGAAAGTACAGCAGTATTCAATAAATAAACAGATGACGTTTGTTAGCTGAGCTTAGTAGCCCATCTAGAACAGAAAAGCCCAAAATAACCAATAACTGTCTTGCTTTAAGTTTTTGGATGAACTGGGAGTAGATCCAGCAAGAAAAGCAATCTTAAGAATGGGTCAACGGGTCATATGACACATAGTGTATTGACACGTAATGCTTAACTGTGTTGGAGAAATCATCTCTACATAGATATACAAATTTACAACGCAGAATAAAAATAATATAGTATTAGACGTTATACGGGCATGATCTCAAAGCATACATAAAGAAGAAGATTATCTGTCATTTATAATGAGCAATAACATATTTACAAGTATACACATGTAGATCTTAGGTTTGTAGTTCATGTTCTTTTTATCATTTAATTGAATTAGTCCGATCAATGGTAAACCCACATAACAATTTAATGTTCAATGTTTATCACCCCTATATCTCTGTCTTTCACTTTTTAAATATTTTTTTTATGTTTACAATAAAATTTAGTCTCGAAAACGTAAGCTGAATTTGTTTTAGTATTTGGATGTAGTAGTTTAAGAGTGTTTTATAGTTCAGTCATTTCTGGTTTAGAGTAAGCGCGGTTAGATTGGGATCTAGACAATGGTTCACAATACAATGTTGGTCACGGCCTAGTCAAAAACGGCAGTGTCGGTCATTAAATGTCGATCACAGCCGTGTCGATCACATCCGTGTCGGTCATTGATAGGTTGATCACAGCCGTGTTGGTCATTGATAGGTTGTTCACAGCCGTGTCGGTCACTGAATGTCGATCACAGCCGTGTCGGTCACTGAATGTCGATCACAGCCGTGTCGGTCACTGAATGTCGATCACAGCCGTGTCGGTCATTGAATGTCGATCACAGCCGTGTCGGTCATTGGCATGTCAAACACAGCCGTTTCTGTCACAGTTTCGAGATCACAGCCGTGTTGTTAAACAAACGAGTTGGCTGCAACCTTGTAAGTCACAGCCGTGTCGGTTACAGCCGTCTCAGCCGTGTTGACCACATCTTGTCGATCACAGCCGTGTCGATCACAGCCGTATTGCGACGTACCCTTAACCGTGTAAGTCTTTGATGTCGTATTGTGACGTACCCATAACCTCTAAGTCATTGATGTTTGAAACTTCTTTAAAATCGTTCGCGCGTAGCCGGTAACTCAGCGAATGCTGACGGTGCTTATTTGGTGTTAGGGATGGGTAATTTTCAATCGCAGGCTTAAATGCAGAAATGCATGTAGCATGAGAATGTAGGTTACAAATCATTCAAGCTTGGCTTTCAAGTAAGGCAGACTGTCTTTCTGCTCCGGTGTGTACATAAAGTGTGTTACATAAAGGCATTTTGGGATATTTGCTATGTGTACAAAGTGTCGAGTATTTTAATACATAACATAACTTTGAATAAACTCAAGCAGTTCGCTTATACTCCAAGTTTGTTGGCTACTCCGTGGGAGTTAACTACTTTTTAGAAAGGTAAGTTATTTTTAGATAGATTCAAAAAATTAGCTGTAGAATGTCGCGTGATAAGGTAATTTCGCTTGATCAGACACGGGGTTACAGCAGGGGTCGGCAACCTGCGGCTCGCGAGCCGCATGCGGCTCTTTTGATATCAAGATGCGGCTCTCCAGCTCCTTGAATAAATACTAATAATCTTAATAAAAAATAAAATATTTAAAATAAAAAAAAATGTTAGTGGCTCTTTAAAACCAGGGAAATTTTGAAAATTGTAACTTTTGGCTCTTCCGCTTCAAAGGGTTGCCGACCCCTGGGTTACAGCATTAGAATCAGCTTTATGCCAACGTAAATTCATTCGCGTATCTTATATCAATATCTTTGTTCGAAGTAATAGTAATAGGAAATCAATAGTACCTGATTTTAATTAATTCAGAAAATTATAATTGTTTTCAAGTGGATATACTTGTAATCAATACTTGTTAATTTAAAGGTTTCAGGGGTGGCGTGGTCGAGTCGGTAAAGCTCATGGTTGCTAAACCGAAAAGTCTCGAGTTCGAACCCTCGGGCAGTTGAGGCTCGTTAGCTGGGGACAGCCACTCTTCTAGGAGAGACAACTCCAAAATTAAACAAATGCTGCCTTGTAGTTTGTTCTTGGTTGGGCAATCCAAAAAGAAAAGCAGGCTGAAATCGGAGTCAATGGCCTTAATGGCGCAAAACCAGTTGACACGTAACGCTTAATTGTGTTGGAGGCGTGGTCGAGTCGGCAAAAAAAGCTCATGGTTGATAAATTCGAACAAAGTCTCGAGTTCAAACCCACTAGCAGAAAATCTCGATCCCCTACAACACTAATAATTAAGAACGAAGAAGAAGAAGATAAAGGTCAATCTGAAGATATTCTTTTTTACACAGCAATCTAATACACTTATAATGTATAATCTTATTTTAATAGCACACACACACACGCACACGCAAATGCACACGCACATGTGAATAGTAGCACTGCTACAGTGGCGTCGCTTGGTCGGGTGTCACACGGTGCGGTGTCTAACGGTGTTTTGTTGTCACCCCTAAACTGCGATAACCGTCGCGGTCCGCACCCACCGCCTACACCTCGCGACGCATCTGTGTAGCAGCCATATGGTAGCAACCATAGAGTATTAGCCATACATTAGCAGTCATAGAGTATCCGCAAAATAGAAGCAGCTATATAGTTACAGCAATATAGTGGCAGCCATATACTGACAACTATATAGTAGCAGCCACATAGTTGCAGTCATTTTCATCTAATAGCAGCCATGTAGTAGCAGCCATATGCTGGCAGTCATATATTAACAGCCATATAATAGAAGCCATTTTGAAAATTGCTAAAAGCGTTGGGCTAAAGATAAACTCCGGAAAAACCAAGCTAATGAAAATAAAAACCAAAAGTGCTCTCAAGACCTTTGCGAATGGAGCAGAGCTAGAAGAGGTCGAAGACTTTAAGTACCTCGGCTGCTATATATCAGCAAATGGCAGCATGGAGAAAGAAATGGCCACCAGAATAGCAATGGCAGCACAAGCTTTCAACAGACTTGCTAAGATCTGGAAATCATCCTCACTGCAGCAGAGAACTAAAATAAGGATTTACAAGTCAAATGTACGTTCTGTACTCCTCTATGCTGCAGAGTCATGGAAACTAAACAAGAAAGGAGAGAGCCGACTCAGAGGCTTTGAAAGAAGATCCCTCCAACGTATCCTCATAATAAACTCGGACGACAAAGTCCTGAACAAGGAAATATGGCGAAGGACAGGATTTAACGACATTGTTTCAGAAGTTCGAATGAGGAGATGGTGATGGCTGGGCCATGTCCTACTTGTGAGCAAAAGAAGACTCCCTAACATGGCGCTGAAGTGGACTCCGCCTGGAAAGCGAAAGAAAGGAAGACCACTGGGAACATAGAGGAGAGAGATGGAAGAAGAAGTGCAGGCTACTGGCAAGACCTGGAATAAATTGAAGTGGCTCGACCAGGACAGAGTGGAATGGCGGAAATTGGTTGCTGCCCTATACTCCACAGGGAATGATAAGGATTAAGTAAGTAAAGTAATAGAAGCCATATAGCACAGCCATATAGTAGCAATCATATAGAAGAAGCCAAATAATAGCAGCCATATAGTAGCAGCCTCATATAGTAGCAGCCATATAGTAGCAGCCATATAGTAGCAGCCATATAGTAGCAGCCTCATATTGTAGCAGCCATATAGTAGCAGCCATATAGTAGCAGCCATATAGTAGCAGCCATATAGTAGCAGCCATATAGTAGCAGCCATATAGTAGCAGCCATATAGTAGCAGCCATATAGTAGCAGCCATATAGTAGCAGCCATATAGTATCAGCCATACAGTAGCAGCCATATAGTAGCAGCCATATTGTAGCAGCCATATAGTAGCAGCCATATAGTAGCAGCCATATAGTAGCAGCCATATAGTAGCAGCCATACAGTAGCAGCCTCATATTGTAGCAGCCATATAGTAGCAGCCATATAGTAGCAGCCATATAGTAGCAGCTATATAGTAGCAGCCATATAGTAGCAGCCATATAGTAGCAGCCATATAGTAGCAGCCATATAGTAGCAACCTCATATTGTAGCAGCCATATAGTAGCAGCCATATAGTAGCAGCCATATAGTAGCAGCTATATAGTAGCAGCCATATAGTAGCAGCCTCATATAGTAGCAGCCATATAGTAGCAGCCATATAGTAGCAGCCATATAGTAGCAGCCATATAGTAGCAGCCATATAGTAGCAGCCATATAGTAGCAGCCATATAGTAGCAGCCATATAGTAGCAGCCATATAGTAGCAGCCATGTAGTAGCAGCCATATAGTAGCAGCGTCATATAGTAGCAGCCATATTGTAGCAGCCATATAGTAGCAGCCATATAGTAGCAGCCTCATATAGTAGCAGCCATATAGTAGCAGCCTCATATTGTAGCAGCCATATAGTAGCAGCGTCATATAATAGCAGCCATATAGTAGCAGCCATATAGTAGCAGCCATATAGTAGCAGCCTCATATTGTAGCAGCCATATAGTAGCAGCGTCATATAGTAGCAGGCATATAGTAGCAGCCATAAAGTAGCAGCCATATAGTAGCAGCCATATAGTAGCAGCCATATAGTAGCAGCCATATAGTAGCAGCGTCATATAGTAGCAGCCATATAGTAGCAGCCATATAGTAGCAGCCATATAGTAGCAGCCATATAGTAGCAGTCATATAGTAGCAGCGTCATATAGTAGCAGCCATATAGTAGCAGCGTCATATTGTAGCAGCCATATTGTAGCAGCCATTAAGTAGCAGCCATATAGTAGCAGCCATATAGTAGCAGCCATATAGTAGCAGCCATACAGTAGCAGCGTCATATTGTAGCAGCCATATTGTAGCAGCCATATAGTAGCAGCCATATAGTAGCAGCCATATAGTAGCAGCCATATAGTAGCAGCCATATAGTAGCAGCCATATAGTAGCAGCCATATAGTAGCAGCGTCATATAGTAGCAGCCATATAGTAGCAGCCTCATATAGTAGCAGCCATATAGTAGCAGCCATATAATAGCAGCCATATAGTAGCAGCCATATAGTAGCAGGCATATAGTAGCAGCCATATAGCAGCAGCCATATAGTAGCAGCCATATAGTAGCAGCCATATAGTAGCAGCCATATAGTAGCAGCCATATAGTAGCAGCCATATAGTAGCAGCCATATAGTAGCAGCCA